TACGATAATAACAGAAATAACAGATAGGATACTATGCCTGATTGACGTGATCTCCCACCAAGAAGCTGTTGACAACGTGAGATTGTGTTGTCATATCGCAGTTGCCTCGGATACTCCTAACATCACTTAGTAAATGTTGTTATGATATTGTCCAGGTCACACTGCCAGTCAGTGGCTCATAAAATATCAAGTAAACACCCTAGGGATCCTCACTGAGTTCATTAGAACGATGATAACAGTTATAGGAGGTTCGTAAACTCTGTAGGCTGGATGGACGCGATTATTACTACCCTCACTGTTATACACTTCAGCTCCAGATACCTGAGCAATTATGTAAGGGAAAATTTTAAAGGAGCATCTAGATTACCGTATACCCAGAGCATGCAAGCCTGTCATCTCCAATAAGAATTGATGGGATTCGTACAGTAAATTGACTACTGCACTAATTTCGTTCCGCGGAACCTCTGTAAATTCCTTGAAGGCCACACTGTTGCTCATTGATGTAAAGACTCAAATTCTTTCTGGATGCCATAATAAAAGAAAGCAAACAGTGAGTCAAGTAACTCAATAACTATACGGAAGAAGGTTTTCCGTGAAAGGCTGCTCGTGTACGCGAGGTATGTGAGGGAGTGCAATCGCATAATGCAATTATACACATGCGCGTCCTCTCAAGAAAGCATCTTTATTCTACTCCTTTGCAGTTTCGAAGCCCTATTTCAAAATTAATTTTTTGTCATAACCAACTAACAAATAAGATGAAGTTTTGTAAGTTAAGCTTGGCCTCAAGACACAAACTGTGAGGAAGTTAAGACTAGTCTGAAAACTATCGGATTTACATCTGCCAGTCAATTTGCAGAAATGCCCAATTTACATCAAAAAGTCTTCAAGAATTCACAATGTTGAAAACGATCTCAAGAGACCCATTGCTGTGAGAAATGAGGACAAGACATAAAACAATTGTTCTCTCAACATCTGCTGCGCTTCAAATCACGTTCTGCACAAACAATCCTCTCCCGTTGATTGAATATTTTGATAGGTGTTTTTATCTAAGTGAATCACAAAGGGCTCGTAAAA